TCATCATCATCATCATCATCATCATCATCATCATCATAATCATCATCATCATCATCATCATCATCATCATCATCGTCATCGTCATCGTCATCATCATCATCAGCATCATCATCATCATTATCATCATTAGCATCAGCATCACATCATCATCATCACCTCCACCTCCACCACCATCATACATCATCAGCAGCATCAGCAGCCTCATCGTCATCATCAGCACAACATACAACAGCAGCAGCATCATCATCAGAAGTATCAGCATCAGCAGCATCATCATCATCAACACACTAATCAGCACCAGCATCATCAACGCCACAAACATCATCAACAGCAGCAGCACCATACTAATCGGCATCAGCATGATCATAATCGTCAGCAGCAGCATCATCATCGGCATCTCATCGTCTTCGTCGTCATCATCACCATCATCACCACCACCATCATCGTCATCATCAGCATGATTCGTCGTCGTCATCGTCATCGTCATCGCCATCATCATGAACAGCATCATCATCATCATCAGCAGCAGCAGCATCAGCATCACCATGAACAGTACTATCAACGGCAGCATCATCTACATCCTCATCAGCAGCATCATCAGCATTACCATCAGCACAGCAGCAGCTCCAGCATCGCCATCGTCAGCAGCAGCATCATCAACATCAGCAGCATCATCAGCAGCATCATCATCAGCAGCAGCATCATCAGCATCAGCATCATCATTATCATCATCTACATCGTCGTCGTCCGCATCCTCATCCTCATCATCATCAGCATCATCGATCATGGTCACTATCAACATCAGCATCATCATCATCATCAGCATCATCCTAAGCATCATGATCATCACTATTATCAATATCATCACCATCATTATCATCATCATCATCATCATCATCATCATCATCATCATCATCATCATCATCATCATCATCATCATCATCATCATCATCATCATCATCGCTATCATCAGCAGCATCAGCATCCGCATCATCATCAGCATCAGCATCGGCATCATCAGCATCACTACCACCACCACCATCAGAATCCTCATCCGCATCCTCATCCTCGTCACCATCAGTCTCAGCATCATCATCAGCAGCAGCAGCCGCCACATCATCGTCATCATCATCGTCATCATCATCATCAACAGCATCCTCATCCTCACCATCATCAGCATCATCATCACCATGAACATCATCATCAGCAGCAGCATCATCATCATCGTCAGCAGCAGCAGCAACAGCAGCAGCATCATCAACAACAACATCATCATCACCATCACCAGTATCACCATCATCATGGTCATCAGCATCAGCATCATGGTCATCAGCAGCAGCATCAGCATCATCATCTCCATCAGCATCATCAGCATCATCAGCATCAGCATCACCACCACCACCACCATCATCATCGCCACCACCACCACCATCATCATCATCACCACGGCTCTTCCAACCACGGAGGCACAAGGTGTCACACGTGACGGCCTCCTGTGCCCCCACCGAACAGTCGGGCCGTCTTTGGACCCTCGTGGGTTCCTTCGGGGGCCCGTTCGGGCCGTCTTGGACGCCTTTGGCCGTCTTCGGATCCATGGGGCCGTCTTGGAGCCCTCTTGGGGTTTTGTTGGGCCGTCGTAGGGCAGTCAGTCCAGGGAGCATTTTAGGCTGCCTGTCTTGCTGTGAAGGTCCCGGAAGCAAAGATGCTAAAAATGCACGTTTTCCTGAGGGAGTGGGACTCTCTGGACTCTCTCGGGCGTCGTCTTGGAGCGCCGCTTGGGGCGTCTTCGAAGCTTCTGGCGCCGTTCGAGACGCCTCGCCGTTTGAGCCGCCTCGACCACGGCGGGAGCGCTGTCGAAATGGACCTGGGGCCCCCGAGGAGCCCCGAGGAGCGGGCCCGGCCCCCCGCACCGACACTTGTGGTAGTGGTCCCTGTCCCCCGGCCCGCCCGGGCGCGGGATGACTCACGTCACGCTCGCTCTCGAGAGCCATGGTGTGAAAAGCTTGTTACATCGTTTTGGTTGCTCTCTCTCTCTCTCTCTCTTTCCATCTCTCTCTTTCTTATTTTATCTCTCTCTTTTTCCCTCTCTGTTTCTCTCTCTCTCTCTTTCTCTCTCGCTCTCACTCTCTCTCTCTCTCTCTCTCTCTCTCTCTTTTGTGTATATAGAAAACAAATGCAAAAAAAATATCGGGAGTCCTGGCGATAATACATTGTTACGGCACTGTTCGCTCTCGGGAGACTTGAGCCCAGGGCGCGAGTGGTTTGGAGTTTCCCCTTTCCAACTTGCAACCCCCTTATTCACCTTCGGGGAGGGGCTTATCACTGTTCCCTATACACTCCCACGCCCAGGCGACCGGCAGCCAACCAGGAACCAGGAGGACAAAATGCTCTCTCTCTCTCTCTCTCTCTCACACACACACACACGCACACACACACACACACCGCCCGTCAAGAACAATACAAAACGCACTCTGCCTCCACATTTGGAGCATGCGCGGCCAATCCGATGCGGCACCCGCCACCGTCCCTGTCAACTAACAATACACGAAGTACACTTTGGGGCAAAGTCTTGAGTCATATTCGTGAGGCCCGCGAGCACTTTGAATTGTTTTTGACAGGGACGGTGGAGGTGTCAGCATATTGCCTGCTGCTGCGCGCAGGGCTACCACCCAACACAAAATGCACCTCGCGGCTGCATCTGGATCATGCTCGGCCACTCCGCGATCACTGTCAAGTGGTTTTTGACAGGGACGGCGGGGGTGGTGGCGTATGGCCTGCTGCGCGCAGGCCCACCAGACACAATGATGGGCATGGGTTTTCGACAAGGATGGTGGGGGCCGACATGTTTCCCGATGTGTGCTGTCACGTGCGCAGGCGCACCTGACACACTCTGCACGTGCCCCGAACGTGGCGCACCTGGCGCGGCTGGAGAATGCGGTACAGCTGGCGCACACCTGGCACGAAGCTCTCGGAAGAAATGCGAAGAGACTCCAAAGGGCATCCAAAAGGCTTCTGGCCTGTCTGTTCGCCCTCATCCTCCTGCTCCTCCTCATCATCATCATCCTCCCCCGTCTCTTCCTCATCCGCCTGTTCCTCCTCCTTCCTCCTCCTCTCCCTCCCCCATCTCCCTCCTCCTACTCCTCCTCCTCCTCCTCCTTCTCCTCCTCCTCCTCCTCCGCCTCTTCCTCCGATTCCGATTCCTCCTCCATCCTCCTGCCTCTTGGGATAGGACGTCTTACCCAGCCCACTATTCCACGGCATGCTCCTCCACATCCCTGATCAGGGCAACTCGTCTTCGCATCGTTGCTGGATTGGCTGGTGGGGTTAACTTTTTTTACAGCCGCAGGCGGAAGCGCCGGCGGCGAGCGGTCACGGTCGGGCTGCGGCCGTGACGAATTACCCGGGCGCGCGCGGGGGCCGCGGATCAGGCGGCGGGGCAAGCAGCAACCCAGGGCGTCTGAGAGGCCAGGCGGTCGTGCAAGCTGCAACCCAGGGAGTCTGAAGGGTCAGTCACCCAGGATGCAAAGCGGACGCGGCCAAAATGGCACGCCGTACATTCCCAGTCATGGGTCGTGTCAACCGACAACCGCATGGTGGTGGGAACCGAACTCCGTGCGAGAAAGTCAGCCCAGGGAGTCTGTCGGGTATGAGCAGACCGAAAGCGTAGCTGACGTCGTCCAGCAAGGAGGGGAATTCTGACAGCGCCAGCGAACCGTCGCAGCTTTAGAATACGCATCCACGGCTGACAGAGGGAGCCTGAGGTCAAAGACAGCTGAGGCAACCTCAAAACAACTGATGAGAGATGCGCCTGCACGCAGGAGACCAGAGATATGGTGTGCCGCAGTGCAGAAGTACACGAGTACCCAACTGGTGAGGGACACACGGTCAATCGGAAGTAAGCGTGTACCAAACGACTAAGTGACAGCCAGCGCCTCGCAACCCACGCAACGCCAGGTCGAGGAAAGCGCTCGAAGAGGAAGAAGCTGCCGTATACCCACGTCAGCAAGCCCTTCACGGTCACAGAGTCCCAGGGAGTGGTCGCACAACGAGGTTGCGCGTGGGAGCGACGATAGGGAGACCGAGTGCCCGTCACACGCCGAGACCGTGCATCACTGTCCACAGGGTGGCATAGCACGGCCAACAGTGGGAGGCAGCAATGAACGGGGTCACGTCAGCGACCCAGTCAGAGTAGCTGGTGGGGTTACACGAAGCGTCTAGAATTCGCGAGGAGGGTGACAGGGAGATTGGCCAGGAAAGTGGCCAGGGCGGTCGGGAGGGGGAGCCGACCTCGACTGCTCGGTGGGGCCAGCCTGGCCTCCTGCCCCCCCTCCCGCCCTGCCCCCCGAACCCCTCCACGCTGAGGGGCAACGACGGGAGGGGGACTGGCTCCAGGGGGGCAACATCGAGCTGCAATCGGCGCGATACATCGCTGATGGGTCGGCGATGGGCCCCCGACAGCGAGTCCGCACGTTCCTGGGCGGGGTGGGCTATCGGGCCCATATCGGCGATGAGTGGGCGATGGGCGGTCGATGCGCCTCCCCCTGAGCCTATCCCCCCCTCAACGTTGCACCTGACATACACACCCCTGCTGTCTTTAGCCCTGTTCTTTGTTGCCCTCACCGCATCGATGCAGATCGGGAAAACCGATTCACACATGAGGCTCAAAGCACCGTAGAGGCCTCCGTGGAAAAGCAGAAGCTTCCCCACGGCAGGGAACTGCACAACTACTGTGGTGATGCTCTCGCTGGCCACTGGGGCTGTCACAACGAGCCGGAAGACAATGGGGGCCTCCCCGAATTAAGTAGCGCCAGGCAGGCAGCCAGGCTGCCTGCTGCCTCAAACACATCTTCGCTCAACACCAGCTTTGTGTGGTGAGGAGTGGCAAGGGCAGCGCGAAAAATGCCTGCACGACCCAAAAAAGGCGGCTGCGGGGCGCAGCAGGCAGGCGGACTGGGCGCTCTGCCTGGCGCACCGCAGCTTCACTGCCTGCTGCAGGGCGCTCAGTAGCCGAACGCGTTGGTGGTGGCATCCAAGCACGCCATATAGTCCTCGGGCTTCATCAGCGGGTGGTACGCCGGGAAGTTCTCGCCGTCGCACGTGGGCTTCCACTTCTTGTTCTTCTTCTCGGCGGTTGGCCGGTCCGCCTCGCAAGTTCCGTCCAGCTTGGTGCCGAATGCCTCTCCACGAGAGACGCCGTTCGTATCCAAGCAAACCTGCGCAAAGAGGTCCTCGCCCATGGGGCCGTACTTGCCTCCGTCAACGCCTGTTTTCCAATCGACGGTGCCCCCCTTGCACGAGGCCATCGACCCCAGGAGCGTCTCGAAAGCCACCGCCGAGAAGATCTCCAAACTGCCGAACCACCCGTACTTCACGCCTTTGCAATTCTCGAGGTAGAGGCCGTTGGCCGGGACAACCTTGCTAGAGAGGTAAGACACCAATCGGCTCGGCACGAACACCGCGTCTGGATCGACCTTCACGACCCAGTTGGCGCTCTTGTACACGCCAGCTTCCCCAATTGCCTTCCAAGCCTGGTAATGCAAGCCCGTATTCAGCCAGGTGCCGGTCTCCTCTCTTTTCGCGAAATGGAAGTCACCGTCGGCATCCTCCAGCTTCACGAGCGGAGCGCCGGGCCCGACCTCCCCCTCCTGGTCGCTGAATACTCCCCAGTTCTCGCACCCGAAGATACTGGTCTTCCTGCCGTATGCTCCCTGGAGCAACTCCAAGTCATACATCTTCTTTGTGCTGCCGATGTCCTGCATGACCACTGCAAAGCAGTACAATGACGGGCCGTACCAGTCTGCATCCTTGAGGATCGGGTCCATGATCGGCTGCGTCTGAACGCACAACTGGGAGGCGCTGGGGGTGCAGTTCTTCAGGCACTTCCCCTTCCCTGGCTTGGTCTCGAAGCAGTTCAGGCCCGCAACGTTGCAGCACCCCAGGCTGTAGCAGTCGTCGTCCGTGCTGGCGCACTTGTCGCGCGGCGGCAGGGCAACCGTCTGCACCTTGCTCTGGAGGCGATCCGTGTCCGAGGCCGCCCCGTGCAGCGCCAAGCGCGCTGCCCCCGCGCCTGCGCCGGCCAGGAGCAGGGCGGCCACACCTGCGCCACCCGCCACCCGCCAGGGCGAACGCCTGGCGCGAGCATCCTGGACCAAGAACTGCTCCGACCCGCTCGCCTCGCCGCCGACCTCCGCGAGTTCCATGCGCTCCGTGGCCGAGGTCATTGGTGGCAGGTCGGGATGTGGCTGGGAGTGCTCGCGGATCAGGCTGGTTGCAGAAAGCTCTTGAGCCAGAACGGCGACGGGCCCAAATCTAGAAGGGTCGGCCTCGTACAAAAAAGTTAGGGGTCCTGACGTCACGATCCCTCGTGCAAGTAAGATGCGTCCGTGTCCTGAGCTTCCAAGACGGTCCAGGCAGGCATCCGAGAACACCAAGATGGCCCAAAGACCTCGAAGACTGGCCAAGATGGCCCCCCAGCGGTCCAATATGGACTCAAGACGGCCCAAGATGCCACCAAGAGGGTCCAAAAAGGCCACAAGCGGACCTTCAACAGGGCCCGAAGAAGCCAAAATCAGTAAGTTCCCGTTGGTTGTTGAATGATGTTCACAACCTCTCCGTTTCGAGCGTCCGTCAGTTCAGACGGCCCAAGAAGCCTACACGATGGTCCCAAGGCGGCTCAATCCAACTGAATGCCGGGTCCCAAGATGGCCTGAGAGGCCCCAGCGTGGCCCAAGAGGCATCCCAATATGAGACCCTCTCGAAAATGCGGAGCCGCAAAGAAAAACACTCCCGGCGTTGGACCTTAAGAACCGGGGCCTTCTAGAAGGGGAAGGCCTTTTTAATTGGAGCGCGGGCGGGCGAAAGGCGGGAGAGGCGAGGAACGAGAAAAAGAAAAACCGGCCCAAAGAAGACGGGGGCCCCCCACGACGGCCCCACCACACTGTCAGGAGGGTCCCAAAGACGGCCCAAGAGAGCCCGAAGACGGCGTACAAGTGCCCCCCATGACGGCCAAAGGTGGTCCCAAGGGACCCCCAAAGCTTCCTCACAGGAGGTCAAGACAGCCCCAAGACAGCCCAACCGAGTTCCATGAGAGCTCCACAAGTAGTGAAGACGAAAAAAAAACAAAAAACAAAAACAAAGAAGAAAAAAAAAAACAATGAAAAAAATAAAAAAAAAAAAAAAAACAAAAAAAAAAAAAAAAAAAGGAAAAAAAAAATAAAAAAAAAAAAAAAACAAAAAGATGCTTTATCATGTGACCTAGACTCCCGTTCCTCATCCTCTCCTCCCCTCCTCCTCTCCTCCTCCTCCTCCTCCTCCTCCGTCGATCCTCCGTTTATCCTCCTCCTCCTCCTCCTCCTCCTCCTGCTCCTGCTCCTCCTCCTCCTCCTCCTCCTCCTCCTCCTCCTCATCATCATCATCATCAGCAGCATCATCATCACCACCACCACCACCATCAGAATCCTCATCCGCATCCTCATCCTCATCGTCATCAGTCTCAGCATCATCAGCAGCAGCAGCCGCATCGATCATCATCATCATCATCATCATCATCAGCATCATCATCATCATCATCATCATCATCATCATCAGCAGCAGCAGCAGCATCATCATCATCATCATCATCATCATCATCATCATCAGCATCATCACCACCACCATCATCATCATCATCATCATCATCATCATCAGCATCATCGTCATCATCATCATCATCAGCAGCAGCAGCCTCACCCATATTCTCATCACAACCACCACCACCACCACCACAACCATCGTCATCAGCAGCAGCAGCGGCAGCATCATCACCACCACCACCACCATCAGAATCCTCATCCTCCTCCTCATCATCATCATCAGCAGCAGCAGCCGCATCATCGTCATCATCATCAGCAGCAGCATCCTCACCCTTATTCGAATCACCACCACCACCACCACAACCACTATCATCATCATCATTATCATCATCATCATCATCATCATCATCATCATCATAATCAGCATCAGCATCAGCATCATCATCATCATCATAAGCAGCAGCATCAGCATCATCATCATCATCATCATCATCATCATCAGCATCAGCATCATCAACAGCAGCATCATCATCAGCTGTATCAGCATCAGCAGCATCATCATCAGCACAATAATCAGCACCAGCATCATCACCGCCACAAACATCATCAACAGCAGCATCATACTAATCAGCATCAACATCCTCATCATCAGCAGCATCATCATCATTATCGGCATCATCATCGTCTTCGTCATCATCATCACATCATCACCACCACCATCATCATCACCATCATCATCATGATTCGTCGTCGTCATCGTCATCGCCATCATCATCATCATCATCATCAGCAGCAGCATCAGCATCACCATGAACAGAACTATCAACAGCAGCATCAGCATCATCATCAGCAGCAGCATTATCATCAGCACAGCAGCAGCTCCAGCATCGCCATCGTCAGCAGCAGCATCATCAACATCAGTAGCATCAGCAGCAGCATCATCAGCAGTATCATCAGCAACAGCATCATCACCAACATCATCACCATCATCATCTACATCGTCGTCGTCCGCATCCTCATCCTCATCATCATCAGTATCATCGATCATGGTCACTATCAACATCAACATCATCATCACCATCACCAGTATCATCATCATCATCATCATCATCATCATCATCATCATCATCATCATCATCATCATCATCATCATGATCATCAGCATCAGCATCATGGTTATCAGCAGCAGCAGCAGCAGCATCATTATCATCATCATCATCTCCATCAGCATCATCAGCATCATCATCAGCATCATCACACCCACCACCATCATCATCATCGCCACCACCACCACCACCACCACCCTCATCATCATCATCACCACGGCTCTTCCAGCCACGGAGGCACCTGTGCCCCCACCGAACAGTCGGGCCGTCTTTGGACCCTCTTGGGTTCCTTCGGGGGCCCGTTCGGGCCGTCTTGGACGCCTTTGGCCGTCTTCGGACCCATGGGGCCGTCTTGGAGCCCTCTTGGGGGTTTCGTGGGCCGTCGTAGGGCAGTCAGTCCAGGGAGAATTTTAGGCTGTCTTTCTTGCTGTGAAGGTCCCGAAAGCAAATACGCTAAAAATGCACGTCTTCCTGAGGGAGTGGGAAGAGGTGTGCGTCTTCGAAGCTTCTGGCGCCGTTCGAGACGCCTCGCTGGGCGTCCACGACTCCTGGAGGCCGTCTTGAGCCGCCTCGACGACGGCGGGAGCGCTGTCGAGGTGGACCTGGGGCCCCCGAGGAGCCCCGAGGAGCGGGCCCGGCCCCCCGCACCGACACTTGTGGTAGTGGTCCCAGTCCCCAGGCCCGCCCGGGCCTGGGATGACTCACGGCACGCTCGCTCTCGCGAGCCATGGTGCGAAAAGCTTGTTACGTCGTTTTGGTTGCTCTCTCTCTCTCTTGCTCTCTCTCTTTCTTTCTCTCCCTCTCTCTCTCTCTTTTTCCCTCTCTCTTTCTCTCTCGCTCTCTCTTTTTCTCTCTCTCTCTCTCTCTTTCCCTCTCTCTCTCACTCTCTCTCTCGCTCTCTCACTCTCTCTCTCTATGTATACATATATATATATATATATGCACGGATTAAAAATAGATAGATAAATAATATCGGGAGTCCTAGCGATAATATATTGTTACGTTACGGTACTGCTCGCTCCCGGGAGACCTTAGCCCTTTAGGGCATGAGTGGTTTGGAGTTTCCCCTTCCAACCCCCTTATTCACCTTCGGGGAGGGGCTTATCACTGTTCCCTATACACTCCCACCCCCAGGCGACCGGCAGCCAACCAAGAACCAGGAGGACAAAATACTCTCACACACACACACACCACCCGTCAAGAACAATACAAAACGCACTCTGCCTCCACATTTGGAGCATGCGCGGCCAATCCGATGCGGCCCCCCCACCGTCCCTGTCAACTAACAATACACGAAGTACACTTTGGGGCAAAAACTTGAGTCATGTTCGTAAGGCCGGCGAGCACTTTGAATTGTTTTTGACAGGGACGGCGGAGGTGTCAGCACATTGCCTGCTGCTGCGCGCAGGGCTACCATCCAACACAAAATGCACCTCGCGGCTAAATCTGGATCATGCGCGGCCACTCCGCGATCACTGACAAGTGGTTTTTGACAGGGACGGCGGGGGTGGTGGCGTATGGCCTGCTGTGCGCAGGCCCACCAGACACAATGATGGGCATTGGTTTTCGACAAG